AATAAAAAACAATTGAAAATATATGAACTAAATAAACTTAAATGAATGGACATAAACAAATAACAAAAACAAACGTCCACGAACATAAATGAACGAACGAGATCATTGTTAATGTTCGTTCATTTAACTAAACGAACGAGAATTTATGTTCATGTTCGTTATGTATTAAATAATCGAATATAATCGAACATAATCGAACTTCCCAACAAAAGGTTCACGAAAGGATCGTTGACGTTCCGTTCATTTATGACCGTAGTCATCATGTGCATTATGAACAAGGTGCACAAACTTTTCCTAAAATTCACGATTTTAGAGGCTATGTGTGACAATTGAATGATTCATATCAATAAATATATGAACGACACAGAGAAAATAAAAGGTAAAGAAATAGGGCCTTGATTGACAAAGACTTCCACACCAATCACAATCTAAGATCGAAACTCTACCAAAAATCTAAATACAAGTAATAGTTAATGTTTTCCAGAAACCAAAGTTTTCCTGATATGGTATTTTTCATGTTCTTTTTAGTTTTCTATAGTTTATGATCTCTAGTTGATCAATGTATTAGTAGTTAGTACATTTACATAACTAAATTGTTATGTAAATGTTAATTTATGGTCTTTTTGACCGGTACCTTTTTCGCAAAACAATGACTATATCATGAAAACTCCCAACCTTTTGCAATATGACTTTATCACATTTCTTTTTTGTAGTTAAATTAAAAAAATTTGGGAAGTATATCTACATAACTATAAATATACTTTTCGCAATAAAATAAAATAAATAAATAAATTCCAAAAACCTTTGTAGTGTCATTTTTCAGGTTTTTAATATTTTCCCATAGTTTATTGGATCAATAGTATACTCTACAAAATCATGTTATCTACAAACAGCTAGTTTATGGCTTATTTAAAAATATAATTTTTCTGGTACATGTCGTTTCATGTTTTATAAATTATTGACTAAATTTCAGAATGATCCATCTGGTTTGTCGAATATTGTAATTTTAGTCTAAGTTTTTATTTGTATCAATTTTGTCCCAATTATTTTTAATTTTTGATTAATGGGTCCATCCCCATTAAGTCAGACTAATGGTTAGTTTAGAGATATATTTATGATTTTGTCTTTTTTTATAAATAAACATAATGATAATGAAATAGCTCTTATCAAAAAAATCTTGAGCTTAACTCCAAAATCTCTATTATCTAAAGAAGGCTATGTGAAAGTCCGACCGGTATAATGAGATCTAATCAAACGTTGAAACCGCACCCTTGCTTGGAGGTGGAGCGATTGCGCAAAAATTATAAATTGTATAGATGAAATTGATACAAATTAAAATTATATATATTATATATATATATATATATATATATATATATATATATATAATATATATATATATATATATATTCGAGAAAATCAAAACGGTTGAGAATGGAGGAATCGTCTCAGCCACTTATTTGTTTTTGCCCCAAAAGCATTTGTTGTACCACGGAAATGGATAAGGACTACACATGAGTTTCCAACAAAACAGGTTTCCTTTAAACTATGCTATCCATTACCTTAATATATACAAAACATAGTTTTTTTTGTTTTTTTAATTTTAAGAAGCTATTTACTCGGAAAAATGATTTAAAATATACCAAAATTTATAATTTTTTATTCTTTACAAAAAACAATCCATATTGATATACTTTTAAGATAAAATAATTTTTTTTTTATATTTTCAGCTATCGTTATTCATAAGTGAATAAAAAACGCATCAGATTTTGCTACAGTACATTCGTTATTCATTTATGAATAAAAATATATAATTAATTTTTTGTACAGTTTAAGTATCAGTTATACTACTTATTCAATATAAATAATAACAAATTAATTGTAACAAAAATCTGATAATGTTTTATTCATATATGAATCTAAAATATGACGCACAACTAATACCCTTTTTATTATATATAAATAAATATATGATGAAAGATGATGTAAAAAATATATTTTAAGTAAGAAAACTTTATTGCGTGTCATATTTATATATGAACGGTACTTAAACTATAAAAAAAGTTACGCCTAAGTTTTATTCATAAGTGAATAACGATATATACTGTAATAAAACCATCTGATAACTATTTTTATTCACTTATGAATCACGAGAGCTAAAACTCTAAAAAAAATAAATTTTTTAGTTTATCTTAAAAGTATATCAATTATCGATGTCTCTTTATAGAGAATTCAAAAAATTATGAATTTTGATATATTTAATAATTTTTCGATAATAATGGCTTTCTAAAAATAAAAAACGAAAAAAAAAATTTGTTTTTGTGTATATTAAGGTAATGATTAGCATAGTTAAGGAAACATGTTTGGTTGGAAAACAACCTGTTTATCCGTTATCCATTTCCGACGGTTACGACCTAAATATTTTGCGGCAAAAAAAATGTGTGGCTGAGAATGATTCCCCATTCTCAACTTTTTTTTTTTCTCAATTGAACCCTCCTATATATTTATATATATATATCTCTATATCTATGATAGATCTATAGAGATCTATATAGATATATCTATATTATTATATCTATGATATCTATATAGGTTTAGGTTTCTATGGACAAACAAAAACCTTAAAATCATTAAAATGCATAAAAAAAATACTTAGAGATCACAAAACTTTTTTTGTGAATTTTTTTTATCAAAAAATCGCCACTTTTAGGTAAAATCGCTGAAAAAAAATTTTGAAAAATTTTTTGTTTACAAAAAAAAAATGGATTTTTTTTTCTGCGGAATTGTACAAAATCTGCGATTTTTGATAAAAACATTCAAAAAAAAGTTTTTGTGATGTCTTGGTCTTTTTTATGCATTTTTATGATTTGAGGGTTTTTTTGTTTCCAAATAACCTTCCCGATATATATATATATATATCAGATATATATATATATATATATATATATATATATATATATTATAGAGAGAGAGCGAGAGAGAGAGAGGGTCATTTGAGAACTCAACGTTTTCCGAGAACCAACGACGGCCGTTAGACCAAACTAATTACGGTTAGGATGATTTATGGCATTTTCGTAAATAACAACGGGAAACAAAGAGGCGGGGCATTCTATTTCACATGAATCAGGGGCATTTTAGAGACAACCTAATATACCGTCTCAGATGCCAGATCTGTTCCTGGTTCAAATCGGAAGACAAGATGAGATCAAACATCTAATCGGCGACCACCTCCTTCGCTCTCCAGAAAATCGACGCCAGATCCTCCTTCTCCGCCACACATTCTCTCATCCTCACCGGAGATCCATCTTCGTCTCATCTCAGACCTCAATCACCATCGATTTTGCTACAAACGGTGTCGTTTTGACTTCGTCGGATGGTGTTGGTTGCCTCTTCCTCCATCTGATTGTGGAATTGTCTTCGTCTCACCTCTGCCAGAAATCTCTCTCAGCCTATCGTTGCCTCACGCCCTCACCTCTTCAATTTCAGTTACAGTTAATACCAAAAACTTAGGGTTTGCAATTGTTTTCTGTCCACGATTTCAATCTCGTGTTAGGATTCTAAATCAACAGAATCAACATTTCAGATACTATCTTCAACAGCGATGGAGCTCTCGATGAAGTTCGTCTTAAGTAAAAAGCATATGTTATAGCTCTCTGTGCTGTTCTCAGTGATATTCCTAATTCTAAAATGGTAATGTTTCCGATTTTTCAATTATATTGTAATTTTCTCTTTCTTTTTTAAGTATCTGTTCTATTGATTCCTCTATCGATCCGGTAGATATGGAAACGATCTTCCAATCGCATTTGAGGTTCACTTCACTAGCCGATCAACTGTGACGGCTTATTGAGGAGTTTCAGGGCGGCAATTTCATATATTGAGGGTATATCGGATCAAGTTATTCACAAAAGGCATCTGATTATTGCAACAATTCACCAACTCTGATCTCTCCACTTTCGATTATGTTTCAAATTGTATCATCTTTTGAATTTGGTCTTCTGGTAGGTATTTATAACCTCTTCCTAGCTTTTCTCGATTTATGAGTTCAAACTTTTGTTTATAGTTCCAATTCAGTAAATTAGTTTTTGATTTTGTATAAATATATTCGTTCATAGATGTTCTCTTATGATGGCAACTATTTCTAGGTTATTATTTATGCGACTGTAAGGCCATTTATGAAGAGTATATTTCTAAGAACTACGAGAATAGTGGCTGAGTTGTAGTGGCTGGAACTTGTGTGTGTGTGTGTGTGTGTCCATAGATGCTATGGTAAAATTATATGGCTTTTTATTCTATACATCTTAAATATGGATCATGATATGAATTTTTTTGGATATTGGTGATGATCTAACATATATTCTTGTTGCTATTAATCCTTTCTGACAGTTAAAGAGATTTTAATTTAATAATTATGTCCAAACGGGTGGTAATTACAGGTAAGGCGTTGCAAAAATTATTTAGATTACTTTGTTTTGTATTAATACGATATGATGTTGGTCCTAATAATTTTTTATTTGACATGGATCTTGTTGTAGGAGTTATGCTAGTTGTGTTTCTGCAAACTCTTCCTCCATCCGGCTCCTTTGAAAATCACATAAATCGGATGACAATCAATTTAAGTGGACAGAGTGTGGAAGATGGAATTTATTATTTGAAAAAGCACCTTATATTTGGTGTGTATTGTGGAAGTAAGCACCTTATTTACGCATTGTGATTTGAAACGTCTCCCAATCATAGCATTTTGCTTTCAGTTTTTCCTTATTATGACACTATACTTTCAAAAGTCTGCCCAATTATAGCAGTGAAAATTGCTTTGTATTAATAGGAAGAAACGAAAGTAGGATGCTATGATGTACAAATCAATGGAAGTATGTTGTTATGTATTGAAGTTAACCCAACAACAAACATAGCATCGTTATCTTAAACCCTGAAAAACTCGGTATCTTTCTTGGAGGCTCTTCTGGTTTCCACCATCATCATCCACCACAATAGTCTAGGCACCAATGTCAGCACCAGCACTTGTTGTCCTTCTATGCCCTGAAACTTTGCTCTCATGTTTCTCATCAAGGTATTGTACTTTTGAAGGAAGCTTTTGTTCTGAATTTTATTTCTTGCATTTGGTATTGAATTTTCTTGTGTCTGGTGATATTTCTTTCAACCAATATTTCTAATGGACTATCTGTGGCTGGGGGCATTTATGGTATTATACAGGCTGGGCACATCAGATAATTTACTGATTTCAATTCAAGACAAGATAAAAGGGGAAGACACGATGAGTGAATTGGACAAGAAACATAAAAAAGAGAATGAAGAAAGACTGGAAGAAGTCAAGAATGCACTCTCTCTCAAGGTCAGCACAGAGCACTATTCCTTTTAATTTTCTTATCTAGGTAAAATATAAGATAAGGTCTTGATAATATTTCTGTTGTGTCTGAGTTCTGAAATGAATAGTTTTTTTTGTGGGGGGGGAGAGATGGAAGAGTGAAAATAGGAATGATTTGTTTTTGGATATTTTTGACGATATGTGTTACTTACATGTGGTAGAAGGTACAAACTGAATTCCAATCAACAAATTTTTGGTTATCTAATCATTAGATAGTTTTAATCGTTTCACAAATCTTATAAAGAATGTGTGGATTACATTTTTTAAAAATCCAATAACCATTTTTTATAAGACACTCAATCTTATTTCACTACATTTAAGAATTGACCAAAATAGTCCTTTTAACATAATAACAAAACTTTTCGTTCCTATGCTTAGACAAGAAAAAACTCGCAGCAGCCTCCCTTCTTCTTCTCGTGCCTCCTCAGGCGATTCCCGATTACCTGCCGTCGATAGCTCGCCGCTGACTTCTATCGCCGGATACCGTCACACCCAACAGCACCGGCGACCGTTGCATACCACAGATTCTATTCGATTCAGGTGCGATTTTCTTTATCCTGCTTTCGTTTAACTGTGCCTGCTCTAGATTTTCCTTTTCCCCTGATTTCAGTTGAAATCGAAATCATATATGTTTGTTGAAATCAAAATATGTATGATGTCTGCAAATTTTAGATGTATGCGTTACTGTTTTCGTTGAACTGCATTCAATTGCATGCTCTCGAGTTTCCTTTTCCCCCTGATTTCAGTAATCGAAATCATATGTGTTTATTGCCTGCTGTCACTGCAATGGTTATTGCAAATGCATATCATCGTTTGATTACAAACGAAGTTTACTATAAAAAATTATGTGTTGACTATATCTCTGTCTAATGAGAATATGTTTCGAAAAAAGTGTTTCCAAATTAACTCATTTCAGCATTGTAATGATATGACAGTCAAAGCATGATGAAAAATGATCGCAGTTAATTATATGCATTTGCAATAACCTCTCTCTCTCTCTCTATTCTCTATATATATCTATATATATATATATATATATATATATATATATATAATATATATATATATATATCTATATCTATATATATATATATATATATATATATATATCTTACGTGGCTTTCAAAAGTAGGATTATGTCTAACAATCAAATAAAGTATTGTGTTATACAAATTATCAAACACCTAAATCAACTAACAATTAAAATTCTCAGTTTTGAACCCAAACAGCCACTGTTTAAAGCTGTTTTAGTATATTTGAAACCTGTATAACTTCCGTTTTTATTTCATATTCCAGGAGTTAAGACTTTTATCTTTTCAGAATGTACTTTTGAAGGTCCAAACGATTTTTCTAAAATTTTATATGATTTTTACAAAACTGCCTATCAATGCAGCTAAATTCTGACCAGCTGGTGAAAAATGTGATTTTCACCTAAGTTAGAAGCAACAAAAGCTTATGGAAAAATTAATGGATAAACTAGATTCAAAATGGAAACTTTGAAATTTTACGGATCATTAATTTGATTCCTAGTGATTTTTCTATAATTTTTCCAATACAGTGACATATTTGTAATTTTTGCTGAATTTTCCAGCTTTGGATTTCATAAGCTTTTTGACCACTTAACACATTAAGCCATCACTAAGAACACCCATAAGGGTAAAAATTAGCCTCTTAACAGACGTGGCATGTCAAACAATAAAAATATCATCCCACTCACAACCCACTCATCAAGGTACAAAATATCTGGTGGAAAACAAAGTAGGTTGCACAAATAGGAACTTGGATTTCTTCCACCACCAATTCTCATAGAAGGACTTTGAAAGATTGTTTTGAGGCTTACTGAGTGACTCAAAACATGATTTAATCTAAAAAAACAACAACAAAATGATGAGCACTCTTGTATTTATTTCTTTTCTTTCTCTGTCTCTATTGTTTCTTTGTGAGTATGCAGAAAGCAATTTTTCTGACTCCTTGGACATGCTTGAGGATAAAAGTTTAAAAATAGAAGATGATTCTGACTTGCCATCATGGTCAGGTGATGAACATGGTGTCAGGGTTCTTAGAATGTTGATAGCTTTGGTGTTGTTGGAGATGGAGTTTCTGATGACACAAAGGTGAATATACATATATAGTCTTTCTTGAGTGTATTGATGGAGTCATTAAGGGGATTCTTTTTATTTTCATGTATGTTACATAACAGGCCTTTGGAGATGCATGGAAGGAAGCATGTTTTATAGATTGCATTCACGGGAAGCAGTACAATATATAATGATATATGCATGAGAACTCAACTGTAAAAATGGAAGAACAAGACTCGGAAGAAGAACAAGGATCTCCATGTGGATATGATTCAAAGTGTCATCCAACAACTCTTCTATCAGGTCAATCATAATTGATAATGGTTCATGTTCGAATTTTCTTGAATTTTGTATTTGTCTGAATCATGGTGTGACGGTTATAAGTAAATCACATGTAATTCATATGTGAATTACATGTTCACATGTAAATCACAAGTAAATCACATATGAATTACATGTGATTCACATGTAATTATGAATTACATGTGATTCACATGTAAATCACATAAGAATTACATGTGATTCACATATAATTCACACATGATTCATATGTAAATCACATGTAATTCACATATGAATTACGTGTGATTCATATGTAAATCACAAGTGATTCACATATGAATTACATAATATTCACATATGAATTACATGTAATTCACATATGATTCACATGTAAATCACAAGTGAATCACATATGAATTGCATGTGATTCACTAGTGAATCACATATGAATTACATGTGACTTACATGTATATAATATCTAATTCACATATGAATTACATGTGATTCACATGTAAATCACATGTAATTCATATATGATTCACATATAAATTACATGTAATTCACATATTAATCACATGTAATTCACATGTAAATCACAAGTGAATCACATATCAATTACATGTGATTCACATGTAAATCACAAGTGAATAACATATGAATTACATGTGATTCACATGTAAATCACTAGTGAATCACATATGAATTACGTCAATATGCACACATGCATTTTGTGTGAGTGGTTTTTGTTAATTATTTTTTTTAATTTTCTTGTGAATTTCACATTTGAATCTTAAAGATACAATCAAATGTGAATATCAATTATATATCAATTGAATCTTACATTATATAATCACATGTGAATCTTACATGATATATACTTGTGTATTTTTCTGAGTGTTCTTGTATTAATCAATTTTTTTTTAAATTTTCTTGTAGGTTTTGAAGAATTTGTTGAAAATATTGAAGAGGTGAAAAGTGATAAATTGAAGAAAATATGAAAATCTTGATATGAAGAAATAATAACACTGTGAATCTTTGTAGTTTTTTTATATTTTATTTTGTATCAAATAAAATACTTGTATTATGTTATAGATTGATTAATAAAAATGAGATTTTTTATCTTTACTTACGAATATATAGTATAAGAAAGATGCATATATGCATTTGAAAAAATATGCATATATGCACCTAAAACGTTGATTTTTTTGTTAAAAAAATGCATTTTGAAAAAAAATTGCACTTTTTTATAAAAATCGTAGTTTTTTTTTTTTTTAAAAAATCGTAGTTTTTTTTTTTTTGAAAAAAATACAGTTTTTTTTCTAGAAAAAATGCAGTTTTTTTTAAAAAAATGCTTTTTTTTTTTAAAAAAAAATGCAGTTTATTTTTCAAAAAAAAATGCAGTTTTTTTTAAAAAAGATGCAGTTTTAAAAAAAAAAAATCATTTTTTTGAAAAATTCATGTTTACCGAAAATTATTATTTTTTAAAAAAAATAAATCTAAACTTGGAGGTTATTGTAATTTTTAGACATTTATATGCATATATTAAAGAACACAAAAATGTAAACATTAAATGAGATTCGTAAGATGACGATCATGTCCTTAACGAATTACTTTTGATCCAATGCTCCGCTTTTAGTTCTCGGGAAATTTTGAGTTCTCAACTGATCTCAACCCTATATATATAATATATATATATATATATATATAGCTTATATATATATATAGATATATATATATGTGTGACAACCCGAAAATTTTTTATTTTTAAAAGCCCAGTCAATCAACTCAAATGAGTGTCAAACTCACTGGTAATGAGTTCCAGCCTGGTTAAAGGTCATTCTAAGGAGTTTTAAGCCTAGTACACTTAAGGAATGAGTGTTAGAATGTACCTGCTAGAGTCACTGTCCAAGAAATCAAACCTTAACCTCATCAAAAAGAGTTCACGGCCACAAGACCAATGAGTTTATGGCCGTAAACTCATGTGGCCGTAAACTCAAGTGTATATATATGGTCCTTGGTCATTTCTAGCCATTCTTTCACTTTCACCTCAAGAACACTTGAGTTCTCTCTCAAGTATCATCCCGAGTTTCATCTTAGATCTTCAAAAATCGTAAGTGTTCTTTCTCTAGTTTGTTGTTAATCCTTCTAAACTAGCTTCATCCTCATGATTCATCCATGGAAATCATGTTTTCTTAGATCTTCAAGAAACACCAAGAACACACACTAGTGTTCTTGGCCAAAACCAACCATTTCAAGCTTCTAGATCGTAAGTACTCTTCCCTATACTTCATATCTTCTAAGAAGCCTTGAATCACACCCTTGAAACATGCATTTTCCCAAGAACATCTTGAGTTTACGGCCCAAGATCTCCCTTGGCCGTAAACTCAATGTTATGGCATGTATAGGCCATAAACCCTTCTAGATGCAAAGCTTGTGAACTAGAACCCTTCATTGATGAGAATAAGACCTTAAACTACTCTCAAATAGATAAATGATCATGAGTTTGTTGGATTAATGTCTAAGTCCATAACTATATTTGGTATGTACTTGACCCGACCCGGCATGGTCCATTTGGGTTGCACTTCACCGGCACAATTTATATGGATAGTCTTTTGAGAATAGTATATTTATGATTTATATTAATATATTATAAGTTCTAATATATTAATATATAATCATATTATTTAATTAGTATTGATCAAGAATTAATTTATAATTAATTAAGTGATCAAAAGGAACTAATTAAATATGGACTCTTAGATATATATGTGTAGTGGGCCAAGTTCATTTAGGTTGGGCTAAGTCTTCATGGATAATCCATGGAGCTTTAACCCATGAATCCTAGGAAATGAAATGTCATGGGTATTAGGGTTTAACCCTAATCCTCCACACTATATAAAGGGTCTCATGGTTCATGAAATTAGGCTAGTGGCTAGTGTGGATACACTAACGAGGGCAATAACCGATTTCATAAGTGTGAGCCAAGTATCTATATTCTCAAAAGTCTTCCAAGGTGTTTTTGGTGATTTGTGATTCCACTTGAGGCTTCCACACTATTGGGGCTAAGCTCTTAAAGTTCAAGACTTCAAGCAACATCAAAGGTATGTCATCCAACTAGAACTTTGTAGTATAGTTGCTTCATAATATGCTAGTTAGGATGAAACCTTGGAATATTGATTATTTGCATGTATAATAGAGAAAACATAGATCC